CAATTGCAGTTTTGACCTACAGCATATAATTATATAACCACAGCATATAATTATATAACCACAACCTATCATCGAGCTACAGTTTGATTTTAACGGTCGTGCGAAATTTTGAACACTCTTATTGTCGAACGACGGAAGACCGACTTAATAAACTGACTGCCGATGGTCGGACGATAATCGAAGGTTGGTCGACGGATAACTTCAATTGAAGAAATTGGCCACCGACGCAAAAAAATTATAACTTGGACCGATCGATGGACACAAAATTGGTTAGCCGACAAAAAAAAGAAGTCAAAATCGGCCAAGACAACGGCCGATGAGCTGACGACTGTCTCCCGAAGAATCTCATTTTAACTTCAAAACTCGTCGGCTGTTGATTGTTGGAAATGCTACTGGGGTTTTACTGATTGTGTAAACTGTGTGTTTTATCCATGAACATGCAGTGCTTGATTTGAAAAATTTGAAGTGCTTTATTAAATAAAACATATTTTAAAATTACCCCCCCCCCCACTACACACCCTTCCTTACTCTCAAGCAAATATTCAATTATTCAAATATTCATATTCAATACATAAGTTAGACGTACAAATATCTATTATCGAAAACCGTGTGTATCTCCCCTCTTTCTTTCTCTCTCTCCACTTGGCAAAAAATAAAGGGGGGTTCCAACCCCCGCCCCTCTGGATCCGCCAATGTTATGCTTGTATATGTTATAGTTAAATAAATAAATCTGTACACTCTTAAGTGGCAGGTTAGCGAAAGAGACAATGTAGCGGTAATGTGTAATTCTATATGTAGCGGTAATACAACGTTTTTGTTTCGGTAATGACTATGTAGCGGTAATGAAAATTTCTTAAATGTAGTGGTAATGATACGCGCACCCGAACCTTGTAGCTCAAAAGCTCAAAGACCGGTTTTTACAGAAATATTATATAATGATTTGAATAATTTCAGTATAGGTATTACACATAAATTTTTAAAACAAAGTTTGAATGTGAAAAATACTCAACTATTTTACCAAGAAAATTTTGAACTATAAGTTCAAAATTAAGAACAAGTAACCATCGTCTTCCAATAGAGATGGGTAGATGAAATAATGTTGAAAGAAATGAAAGAGTGTGCATTTTGTGTAATAATAATAATCAGATAGGAGACGGATTTCGATATTCACTGGAATATAATGCATTATGTAGTATTCGAAAAGATTTTGTTGTTGCAGAAACACTATATGTACATCCAAATGTTATAAGATTCTGTTATTTGATGACAAGTACTTATCCAGCATTCTTACGAAAATTGTGTATATATATCTCCATTTTTTTGACATTGTCTGTCCTCCTGTAATTTCTTCTCGCTCATAATTATTGTAAATATGTATACTAGTATATGTAATCTACCCATCTCGATGAGATTAGTATATGTACCTCTTGTACCATACATTTGGTTTTTGAGAGAACAAATGAATGTTGATTATAATGGTAAAGCCAGTCAGATACTACAAACCACACCACCGTGGTAACTGGAAAGCTATCCAACGAAGGACCCGATTCACAACCTATTGTCGTTATCTATAGCTAGACAAAGGTGATCAGTTTTCTTGCGTTTGATTTTATTATGCTAAAATAATTTTGTTTAAACCAATTTTACATGTATGAATCTGATAAAATTACATTTTCATTATCCTGGACGGGTTTAATAACTCTACAGTTTTATTTCACAGTGCAATGAAATTATAATGAATTACTGTCTAGTTAATATAGTATGCCTGGGACATCAACAATAGTGGGAAACATACTTCGTCCGTCATGCAAATTATCCCACGTTTCCCACAGTCGTTAATGCCCTGGCATACTATACTAACTAAACAGTGATTCCTTAAATGCATAGATGATATCCGGTTAATGTATCCAGGCACGTAGCATCGTTTCTGAAAGTGGGGGGGGGGAGGCAACCAGAGAACTTTTTTTCCCTTACCTGAACAAGTTGACAAGCAAAAAAAAAAATTTAAAGTTGCCCAAACTCGAGGATGGGGGGGGGGAGGGGGGGGATAGTGGCCAGCTTTTTCAAAGCCAACTTACTATCACTTCCAATTTTTTCCCTACAATCCTTGTTATCACTATACTATGGTTATAAAGTGGGGGGGCCGACCACCCTATCAGTAAACATTTACTATAGTAAAGGTTATGTTGGGGAAAAAAGTGGGGGGGGGGGGGCAGGCCTCTCTGCGCCCCCCCCCCCCCCGCGGATGCTACGTCCCTAATACAATATATATACACGTGATTTAATCGGTCAATAGAAGGATTATACTTTTATTTATAATAACAAAGTTTATACTAGTATGTTGAGAATTATAAAGAGTATACGTTGTTAAAAATAATCTATTGATAAACAGAATATAAAGAGGTCGAATACAGAATGAAATTTCAAACAAGGAGGATTTTGACATGTTAAATTTCTACCTGTTTATTTGAAGTCCATTTGAATTATAACCCTGAATATGTCGAACCCCTGGACGGCTCGAAGCCGATCTATGGTCCCATCAACTTCGAGATAACAAACCTTAACTGTTCAAGTATTTTTCTTTTCTATTTTAATTTTTTTAGTGAATAAGTACCATAAGTGTCAATAAAATTTAACATTACAATATCGACACCGCTCATCATATTGTAACTGACTTCACAAAAAAATGACTTTATCTAGAGCCACTATTAAGAGACTGGTTGTGAATCTTTAAAGGTCATTAAGGTCTTGAGATCCTTTTCGTATTTGACCTCGCCACAAAATAAAGATACATGTAGGCATAAGGTATATACAATCACTCCACTGGACAAAAGTGTCACACAATGCATATATGCAAATCAAATATAGTACTGATCACTACAGTAAGGCCTTCATCCTATCAACTATATCAAACTTACACTGAAAGATTCCACGTGAGGGCAACCGCTCCAGCGCAGGGAATCCCCCCCCCCGGCCTGTTAGCTAGTATTTATAGTTCCTACCTTCAATGAAAAGGATGCAGTGAAGGTTAGAGATACTTGTAGGGAAACATCTTTCTGACATTGTGCTTGCAAATTATGTATTATTCAAAATAATTAAATACTAATTTGTCTCTTTTTTTTGTTTGTAAATTGTGTTTCCTATCTTGCGAGCTGTGTATATCTCTATAAACGGTTTACTGTATTATTTGGTCCGTCTCGGAACGTAAGAAAAATTTCATTTTTTTATAGAATAATTTTTTGACATAATTGACGGGAAAATCCAATGTTTTTGAAAATTAATAGTAATCTTACTGTTTTCCGATTAATAATGGGGATCCATACATGCACTTAGTTGTCTGTGGTTGAAACTCTAAGAATCAAGGTGAGGTAAAGCCTTATTTTGTATTTTGGAAGGTCTTGTTGCAATGCACGTGGTAAGTATTATAAAATTCTCGTATTCAAACATAATGACCAAAATTTTTATAATAGAAAAAAAAAACACACTAATATACACAGAACGAAATAAATGGTGTCATTGTTCTTGCGCTTTAAACCAAAAGACAAGGCCACCACAAGGTAGAGTATCCCCTCGCAAAGATAACTTCTGTATTCGATAAAGATGCCACGGTGAAAATTACGTCACTCACCCATAGGCGTCAGAACCGGGGTGGGGGCTAGGGGGCTCACCCCCCCCCCACTTTTTTCAAAGGTTGACATAATATAAGCATTGAAAATTGGTGCATGTTTATTATTTTTTTGGTTTACTTTTATTCGTTGGTTTAGCCCCATCCCCCACTTTCGATTAGCCACCCCACTTTCAATTTGCTTTCGACGCCCATTCACCCACAAACGAACACGCCCAACTGCGTTACGTGGGGACAATGTCAGATTGATTTACTGAATGAAAAAATATAACTTTTGACTTTGAAAATTTATGAAACAATTTTTAAGCTGGAAAATGAATTGATATACTGAAATCAACAAATGCTGCTAACAAATGAAACGATTTGTTGATCTCTCTAATTCATCGATCAATTGAGGACTTCGTTTATTATTTTACAAATATGTTTTTAAAAGGAGAAATGAACTAGAGTACCATTTTTTTAAAGAGGGAAACGATTCAACTAAAGACAAAAACTATTTTATTTAACTTGAATTGTGGAAATGTTGGATCGGGAAAAAATGGGAAGGAAGGAAGGAGGAGATGGGTTTAAATTCACTATCTATGATGACTTGTTACCTTTAAATTATTTTAATTAAATAATAAACGAAACTTAATGCACACTTCCTATTCCACTGAAAAATGTCATTGTATCCTAGAATATAAACATGATAAAGGTCTCGTTATAGTTGGAAATAATGCAGAAAAACTCAACAGCGTTTATCTGTCATCCTTGATATATTCCCCTTTTATTTTACTTTTATTACATAAATATAAATGAACAAAATCAATTTCCAGTCCGTTCCTAGATTCGATATAGAAACCGTTGCATGTTTGTGGACAACAGTGGAATCGGGTTCGATGTTCAATGTAACGAGGTTCGTAAATATTGTGACGTCATTTATGTAGTGTTAAAAATTTATTCAGCGATTTTAAACAGACTATACATCAAAATACCACATGTCTATGTAAAACTGTATCCACGAATAAGTAGAGGATAAGGAGAAAAATGTTCAAAAACATCAAGAATGATATAATTGTTAAATCCAACAGTAAAGCCAGAGGAGTTCTGATGACGTTCCCCATAAGAATGAGTGATAAAAAACATTCCCCATAATTTTTGATTACAAACAGAGACGACAGATAGGTAATTTTTACGATAAGAAAGGAGAGTCTATAATAATATAGTTATTTTCCATCAAAATTGCCTATTATTTTGATAAAATTGTAATACGGAAGCACTTTCCCCACAATGTATTCCATGCGCCCAATTCCTCACAAGTCGGTTATGACGGGTAAGAGAGAGAGAGAGAGAGAGAGAGAGAGAGAGAGAGAGAGAGAGAGAGAGAGAAAGTTACCTGACTTGATGGTTTCCAGTATACTACTCTTCAAATCTTCGTGGATGTTAGTTTCATTTTTCTTAATTCGCGCGATTTCTTGTTTTAAGGAATCCATCTGTTTCGCGTTCTCCTGTCGTAAGTACTCAATCTTTTCGTTCAATATTTCAATCGTCTGATCATTACGGTCGCAGTAATTTTTGTCATCGGAATAAATTTGCTGACAACTAGCCGCACAAAAGAACAAGACGTATACGAAGATAACCGCCCAAACTCCTGCCATGATTTTAGTTGCACGCTGTCTGAAAATAAGCTCCCCTAAAACAATCTGTAGTTTATATACCCTAAAATTGGGAAGTTAAAAGTTTCCCTAATATATTACTCTACCGAAACACTTAACGTTCAGCAGCGAATTTTATACGACAGTCAAGAAAAAATAAAATATTCAGGATGTATGGTCATAGGTCAAGTTCAGACTAATGCTGGTAGTGGATGGCATTATAAACATTGTATATACCAGTTTTAAAACTTAAAATGGACATATTGTTTTTAACCACTACATCTTTAACAAACAGAAATAGATATATAAATCAATATATACTGGACAAAAAAGAGTTAAGGATCATCAAATTAAATATGTTTTACAATTACTGGATCATAGAAAACAGAATGCATTTTTAATTTAAGTATCATATTTTATATTTCAAAAGTGAAAATTAAACATTAGATGTGATAAATTTGTTTGAACACACTATACGAATTGTTCATTAAGGTCACTATAGAATTCAGCATTCTGGGGTTAGACCTGAAAATGATATTTTTTCCGAAGAGTCAATTTACTTCACTAGAGCGATTGTCAGTATTTTGTATGACCTCACCGCAAGACCCTGCAGCGCATACTCATGTTGCCTGTCAGCTGTTCAAAGCTAGCCTGAGGGATCTGTTACCATTCCTCCTGCAATGCTGTACTATGAGATCAATCATTATCGTCCATTAAGATGAAATCATCCCCGATTATGCATGTAATACGTCAACCTATAGGATGAAGAATATCATTTCGGTATTTTAAACCTGTCAGGTTGCGTTCAATAATGTGCACATCGGTTTTGTAGTCAATACTTATGCCTGCCCAAATCATCATCAAACCTCCATTTACTCTGTATTGCTCAGAAATGACACAATCAGCATATCTTTCCACAATTGCAATTCAATCAAGTCTTCTGTCATCATGGAAGTCAAAACAAAGTCGTGACTCGTCTGAGAATAGAACAGAACACCAATGACGTTATTGCCAAATTTTTGTGTTCTGTTACCCACTGTAGTCGATTTCTGCGGCACTCTTATTTAAATAAAGGACGTGCGGCAGGTCGGCAAGCCTGGAGATTTCCTTTCTGAAGTCTGTTTCCAGCTGTTTGAGTAGAAATCCGTCCGGTGCGTCTCAGCAAAATTGGCCAAATAATGATCCTATAGAAAAGTCGTACATTTAATATAATTTTTATAACTTTTGCTCACTGAATATCATCAGAAATCATTATTTCATGAACTTTTTTTTAATAATTGTAATCATAAAGTAATCAAAAATTAAACATGATTACAAGACTTTTTTCACAGAGTAATCGATTAAATTACGATTACTTGTAATCAGAAAAATGGATGATTACTGATTACTTATGATTACTTGGCAAGCTGTAATCGATTACAGCTGATTACGATTACTGATTACGATTACCCCATCCCTGCTACAGAAAACCCTCTTTGATACTTTAAAGCTTCCATCGTTCCACTTACTTTTTTAACGCCACGTACTTTCTTGATTAATATTTCCCAAAACCCAGTAAACACGTGTGATTTAAGTATCGAATCATGTTAATGACATGTTTTTAAAACTACTTACGCCTAGTTGTCCTATAAATTCATGGGTATGAAAAAAATATTTCTGTGTAAAAATATGATCCCTAACTTATTTTGCCCAGTATATAATATGTATAATGAGACTTTCAAATTTATTTAATTCTTCACATTAATCTGTTGAAGGTACAATTATCACACATTTAAAATTTCTAATACTTTCTCAATATGAGTTTGAATTCTTAAGAAATTAAAAGCGGTTTTTTTTCATTCCCTGAAGCAATTTGTGTATGAGGTTCACAAATAAATTACGTTGTGAATTGATAATTGATATTTATTCAAAAGGTATCAATGCCACTTTTTGTATAGAATACTAACCTCAACTCTATAAGGTATGGGATATATGGAGATAACGAATAGTATTGGAGCTTAAAAATCCATTAAACAAAACAAAAAGAGCAAGACAATCAAGGACCGGAAAAACATCAGCGATGGGACCAGGTACCATGAAGAAGTAAGCATCTCTATCCGCCCGGTCACATCAACGTTTGCTCCTTATTATTCAATAATCGACAATCGTTTCAAAAATACCATTTCAAACCCAATCTCTCTCTCTCTTTCTCTTATATGTGTTTTTGAAACAGCAACTTAATTCAATTTATCTTACTAGAGCTTTTATCAAAAGAAAATGTACACACTATTCCACGTCAATCAATTATCTTTAAAGAACAAATCTATCTTTGCGTTGAGATTAATTTTCATGAGGTATTGGATACGAATAATCTTTTTTTTAATTTTTGATAGTTTTGAGAGGTGTTAAGTGTCCCAATTAATTTAAATTGCTTTATGACATCAAATGACGCAAAAATATGTCTATTAGGCATGTTTTATCTTATTGACAAGTGAAATTTTTATTTTAATATAAAAAGTGAAAGAAGATATTTTAAGTGAAAAAAAATACAATGTACTTAACTTGCACGAATATCTAAATTACAATTCGTTTTGTTTATTTTTGAAGGGTTTGGATGCATGCTTGCATATATGTTTGCCAAGTCTCTTATCGTTTTTATTGTTTTAAAAAGGAATTTTTTTAAAAATACCATTGGCAAAGCATATTATATTTTCTGTTGAGTGTTTGGTCACACTATCGAAGATTTTATTTCAAAAACGAGATGCAAAGGTGACCATATTTCTTATAAATAGATTAGAAAGAGGAGAAAGCAAAAATTATAAGAAAAATATGTTGTTTAATATTTAATATAAAATTCTTTGCATTTAGTCCTGCAAAAAAAAAAAAGAAATAATTGTTAAATCTATTTTTGTTAAGTAATGGTTGTACTTTCAATTGTAATAATTATAAATAAGTAGCAGTAAGGTAATATAGGATTTATATTGTTTAAAGTAATAAGGAAGAAATTCCATAACGAAAAAAAAGAACAACTTCATTAATAGAAAAAAAAAAACTTAAAGGGATGGTTACTTCAAAACAGGGGTTACAGATGCTCAGAAAAAGACCTAAGAAATGTTAAAAATTAAAGCTTTAAATTAAAACGACAGAGAAAATTGCAAAAAAAAAAAATAGAGAAAAAAAGTCAATTGGCAATATCTTCATTTTCGTTAGTCAGTCCCATCGTTGAAAAAATCCAATATAGATATATACTAGTAGGAAAACAATGGGTTGTAAACTGAGATAAATATGAAAACAGTGGGTTGTAAACTGAGATTAATATGAAAACAGTGGGTTGTAAACTGAGATAAATATGAAAACAATGCGATGTAATCTGAGATTAAAATAAAAACAGTGGGTTGTGAACTGAAATAAATATTTTGAACTGATATAATTATAAAAACAGTTGGTTGTAAACTGAGATATAAATGAAAATAGTGGGTTGTAAACTGAGATTAATATGAAACGAATGGATTGAAACTGAGATAAATATGAAAACAGTGGGTTATAAAATGAGATCGATATGGAAACAGTGGGTTGTAAACTGAGATAAATATGAAATCATTGGTTGTTAACTGGGATAAATATGTAACAGGGGGTTGTAATCTGAGATAAATTTGAAAACATTGGGTTCTTTACTGACATAGATATAAAAACATTTGGTTATTATCTGAGAAAATTATGAAAACAGTGGATTGTATACTGAGATAAATATAAAAAAAACAGTGCGTTGTAATCTGAGATAACTATGAAATTCAGTTGTTTGTGAACTGAGATAAAAATAAAAAAAAAAAAACACTGGGTTTTAAACTGAGATAAGAGAAGAGTAAGGTCACATCCTAGAAGGGAACCTGGATGAATGAACATGTTAACAGTCGCTTGTGAACTGAGAGAAAACAATTTCATCAGGATTGACATATTCTAAACGTTAATTATATATAAATACCGAATTAAAATTAAATTTCTAGGTCCGTTATGCATATTTTTTTCGTTTGATTTTGAATGATTCTTTCTTATTTAATTGGCATGTATATTTAAAAATTTTAAAAAAAGCTTAAATTTACCAATAATTATGATAGTTCAAATAAAACGATTACCATGTCCAAGAAAAACAGAATCCAATTCCCTGACACCCACCCCCCTCATTCACGTCTATTCTGAAGAGGCACATACCATTTATGTCATAATAAATCACAAATGAAAAAAGTGAAAATGGTTGGTGATAACAGTTGATTATATTTCTGCTATGAACATCATCTTATACAATAGATAAGTAATAACACAGTACTATTAAAATTAATATTTTGTTAATTAAGGAGAATCGACATTAAAACGTAGTTCTGAATTAAGGATATCCGATATCGAAATATTATTCTGAAATAATTTAATTTTACTTGTAACACGTCATTTGATTGGCTAAAAGATTTTATTCATTTTACATTACATAACTTGCCTACGTCACAATTAGTTACGTCAAAAAACCTATTTCTCCGCTTGAAGTTACATTTAAGATTTAATCAATGGGAAGTCTTATTCTTGGGAAAACATTGTCTCATTGTTTGCACTGAAATCAAATTATAAGGAATAATGCTTATTTCAACTTATTTTATACGGTATAACAAAACTTAGGGCAGTTTACGTTTTTTTATATAAACCGCTTTGTATATGTGCGTATAACAATACTTTTTTGTTATTGGTGTAACAAAGTAAACAAACGGGTGGGGGTCTACTTTTTTCCTCTCTATAATCGTGAGGAATACTTTTATACACGAGAATTAAATTTTTGCAAGCTCGTTGTCTCGGGTAATTACTCGAAAATTTAAGTCATTGCGAAGTCATCGTGTCATTAAGTCATTGTGATTTAAAGCATTTTCTAAGAAACTCCTATCGTAGAAGAGAACAAAGAAAAAATGAAAACAATCGGTTGTAAAATGAGACAAGTGAAAAAGAATTAAACTTATACCAGGAAAAGACACCAGAGTCTGACTCATCTGTTTCCTACAAGGATATTTACTTGAAAGAAGACGTTGATGTAAATCTAACAACCAAGCGCTATGATAATCATGATAAATTTAACTTTTCTAGTGTCATCTTCCCTTTCTTATGTAG